CCAAGTGCAGGACTCGGCACTTGGCCTTGTTGAACCTCATAGAGCTGGTCTCGGCCCATTGATCCAGCCTGTCCAGGTCCCTCTGCAGGGCCATCCTACCCTCCAGCAGATCGACACTCTCACCCAACTTGGTGTCATCTGCAAACTTCCTGAGGGTGCACTCAATCCCCTCATCCAGATCATTGATAAAGATATTAAACAAGGCTGGCCCCAAAACAGTCTTGGGGGACACCGCTTGTGACTGGCCGCCAACTGGACTTAAATCCATTCACCATTGATTTGAGGTTCAATAGAAATGCTGAATGATGAATAGTAAACAGATTTCTCACCACATGACTAGATGAGTTGTAAGTAAAATATGGAACCTGCAGTAACTGTATGCTAGTGAGAATTAAAATGTTAATTGGGTTTAATGTTTCAATAATTGAACAGATGACTCTATATAGAGATTTTCTTTATATGTTGGAATGTGTATATAAGTGACAAAACAGCTTCTATTCATCTAAGGATAAACTGTGGGGTTTCAGCCACCTCTATACCTTGGAAAGAAAAGTTCAGGTCAACCCCAAATTCTGATGGATAGGCAAGAACTAAAGGACTTCTACCAAAGCAAGTCCCCTACAGTGCAGGCTGAGTCCAAACAAATACACCCTTCAGCACCCATAACAGTCTGTTTGCCAAGTATCTGAGTTCTTGCCCCACGCTTGAAAGCAAACAACAACAGAGAAGTGTGTGAAGAAATTAATTTTAACATTATATTCACACAGGTAAAATTATCAATAGACACCACACTGAAGAGATTCTGGCCATGATAGATTTCCAGCAGTGGGAAGACATCTCAAGTCTCAATTGCCAGTGCTCTAACATACTCACTTCTCTTTACTGGTCAACACCTCAGGTCATGAGCAGATGCCTGTGCAGATTCACCCAGTATTGTAGCAAGAGCCGACAAATTAGACATTTCTGCATGCAAAATTGCAGAGTAATTATAAAAGTACTTACATATCTGGTTTCACGCCCAGCTGCTCTCTGCAGTGATGTTGACACCTTGAACAAAATAAATAGATATATTAAGAGCAAAGAGTTACTCTGAGGAGTAACTCAAAGAGATTTTCATCATTGTGACAAGTTATTAATTACTCAAATTCAAGAAAACTTCAGTTTTCCAGAAAGACTCATACAATACATGAGAATAAGTTATACTAAAGTTTTGCTTGGCATGTTTATTGTAGAAAATACTATTTAAATTTTACTGCTCAAAAACATTGATCCCACTCTACTGAGGATGACATTTAAATTATCTCTGAGAACTCTCACAACAAAAGGCTTATTAGTAGATAGCCATAGGTGTGGTTGCCCCATGAAATTTAAGTTGCATTTGCTCACAGAATAACCTGAAATGACACCTTTCCATGTTCTCATTTGCAAGAACTTGCTTTCATCTGACTATTCCATGCTATTTCTAAGGCATTTACTTACAACATACACTCTTTTTTCCTTCCTGTCAATGACTCTCTTTGACCCTCAGTTTAAACAGTTTGCTCTCTCGTTCTGAGGTCCTCACAACCTTTAGCTTGGTCCCTATGCTGCACCCTGTTAAACTTATTTTTTGCCCCCTTTATTTCTTTAATGATTGCTAACAGATGCCTTCCATTTGGTCAAGGCTCAATTCTCAATTGCCCAAGGAAGTAAGTTTTGGATGCTATAGCTCAAGTTAGTAGCAGCATTTTAACCACTTCGGATTCAGCGCAGGCATTGGAAAACATTCCCTCAATAACAGTCTCTGCCTGCTTCTTTGGCTACTAACATGTTTCTGACTTTCAGCTGCCTGAAGCCCAATTCACCACTGCGTGTTGGTTGATAGAAGTAATTTCAAAAATTACAATTAAATTTGAAGTGTATATTGAATATAGCCACTGAGGAATGCTGGTTCTGTGCCCTATTTTTGCATGGTGGACTGGACATTGTTCAGGATATTTTTAATGCATTAACTTTTTGATGTGTTCCTCTGCCAAAAATCCCCTTCCTCCTGTTTCCAGTTGGATTTCTACCATTTTCACTTTTCTATAGCTACCACGACCAACTTAAATTTACCCGGGGCAAACTGAGTACAGGACCCTCTTCCCTTGGTTAGTCATCCTTCTGAACCCAGAAGGCACATCAATATAACTTAATGAAACTAGAAATTTAACACCAGTATAGAAAGTCATCCCTGCTTCTCACTACCTGTTTCTAAGTTATCCAGGGTAAATGGATGTAGCAGACATACCCTTCCTGTGAGGGGCCAGAGTTAAAAGGAAATCAGCATTTAAGAGCAAGTCTACTTATTCATTTAATTATCCCATTATTTGAAAACCAATAATGAACATGAAAATAAATGTTCTGAAAGATGTTTCCAATCATTGAAGCTAGATACATTGGCTCCTCTGTAATATGGACTCATAGATGGGATGAAATCTGGGAGATGGCCAGAGATCCTACAATATGGAAGGCAAGGTATGAAGGATTTCTTCCTTGTGGATCCTAGCCTCTGAAACCTTAATAAGCAGTTTCATAATATAACTTCTTCTGACTTCAGGAAAGCATTCTGCAACAAAGACTGCACTGACTGCAGGGCTACAGTTCTGTCCTTCCATGTCTTTTAACCCACCGGACACTTCTACTGATGTTGCATCTCTCAGCTGCAGCTTTCTGTTGCCATAGGCTCTACTGTGATTTTGCATGTCTTGATATATACCTGGAAAGAGCACTCACTGTGTGGGTGGGCTTATTCACCTACCTTGCCAACATCTGACTCCGTGCTCATCTGCAGAAAGCTTGGAGAAGACTCACATCGGCGCTGGAAAATTATTTTCAACAGAGAACAGACTTATTAATGACAAGAGGCAAAAGGAAAGGAAGAGGAAAAGTCAATCCCACATACTGATGGGTTACCATAGTCAATGGGTCCTGCAGGACTTGATCAATGACAGCACACAGCTCTTCTGTTTGTTGTCTGAGCTGGGCAGGGGAGCACATCTGAAAAAGGAGGACGGATCACTCAGTTAACCTTTGCTTTTTGTTTTTAAATAGAGATTTGAAAGACATATGACAGCACTACCTCTGAATGGGTGTCCAAAGCAGTGCCTTCAGTCACGCTAGCAGTCTTGGTTGGCTCTTCTAATGCCTGCAATTCAAAAGATTTTGGTGTGATACTGAGTTCAAAATTTTAAAAACCAAGCAAACATACACTTTTTGCTATACTGTATTTGGAAATACAGTACTACTGGTGCTACTTCCAAAGGTGCTACTTTCTGTTTCACCGTGGAAAGACAGAAAAAGAAGAAATTACAGGCCTAGCAAGGCTCTTCAGGTTACCAACTTCTGATTCTGAATTGGAAGGGGGGTTGCCGAGAGAGAGAGTATTCAAGCTAGGTGAATTGTCTCTACTTTTAGACTTCAGAAACTACCAGCTTAAATTGTCATCTTCGACAATGCCTCCGTCCTTCACAGTAAATGTAATGCGGTGAATGTGCACCATGTGCCACAGAAGGGTCGGGGGGCTGCCTGCTGCGCAGCATCGGAGGAAAGCAACCAGCTGTAAGCAGGTGGACAAGGCAGGGATCCAAGCACGCAGGAGGCCCTGTCTTTTCCTGCAGCAGACTTTTTTAAAACTTCTTTTAAAAGTGCCTCCTGTTTAAAGAGGATGGTGATTCCACATTGCAACAAAAACAGTGGTCAACATTTTTGGATTTTAGCCTGAAATCAGGAAAGTATAAAGTGAAATATGTGCTATACATATGTGATATCACACGAAGCAGATATGCAATCCCTCCAAAACAAAACACGAGCTTCTTGTGCTTGGATATACCTCCTGCTTTCCTACAGCCATAGCTGGAGCAGGTTTGAGAGCAGTGGAACTCAGTTTGCTAATTCCTCCGCTTTACTCTCCAGTGCTCAGTTCCCTTTTAATCTTTGTCCAGAGTCTGTGAGGCACACTGTCACATCCATCACCCATTTTTGCTTTGAAGTGATTTTCAAACAGACTCTGTGCCAAGACCAAAAATTACTCTGGAAGCCTGCTGATGTGTGAAGCTGGACTACAGGGGAGGGTTTGTGGATTTTTTGTTTAACACATTATCTTCTTCTGAAGTTTCATTTTGCTAGCTAATTGAAAAAAATAAATTATAATAAGAGAAAAAAAGAGCATTCCAGTAAAACACTTTTTTATGCATGTGGGATTCTGTGGGAACGGACTGATACCAGTGAGGTGGGTATGAGGCCTGGCCAGTCATAGAAGACATACGTGGAGGTGGGAGAAAAATGGCAGAATCTTTAAAAAAAAGAAAATAAGCATACACTTAAGTAATTATTTCTGAGTTTAATTTTGCTGAGTACAATTTTGTTTTCTTTACTTGTCCAGCTACAGGCAGCCTACATCTATGTATGTGTAACTGAAAAGTTGATGACAATTTACTTTTAATATTATTTTAATAGCATCCACAAATGATCCTGCACAGAAGTACATTTATGGAACACCATGTCTTCTATGAGAGAGTACAGTAAGAAAATTAAGAATAGTTTCTTTCCAAACAGATTTCTTCCTTCCCTTCCAGCTCTAGACAAACCTGTTGGTCTTAGAGTAGTTGTAGTTCAAAAGGAAAAACGTAAAAGAATGATTATTTTTGACATACAGAAGTTAATGTAATCTTATCCCAAGACAGAGGATGAAAAGATAAGCAGTCTTTCTCATCTCTGCTGTCTTATCACTGCTACCCAGCCAAATTCTCAGATCAACAGACAGTCCTGTAGAAAAGGAAGGCTCAGCTAAAGAGGGCTCAGCACTACAGTGGAGTACTGTGTCCCCAGTTCAGCTTCAGATGAGATTGCATCCTCTTGGTAAACAAAAAATGAAGTGATAAAATGAAGTAGAAGAGTCATTCCAGTACCTATTAGGGCCAAGATTGCCAAAGCAGCCAGCTGTAGAGAGAAGGTGAGTCTGAACAGGAGTTAGGAAAAACACCAAGTTTTAATCAGTCACAGGCTCAGAATGGAGAAATTGCTAAGCTTCTCAAAACCTCCAAGAAACCAGTAGGTCAATGAACATAATAAAGTAATTGTTAAGAAAAAATACATGTTTCTGTTTTATATTCACTTCACCAGAGCAGTGGGAGAGCATGAACACAACCAAGAGTAAGAAACAACTACCCAGAAGATACTGAGGAATCTTTCTAGACGACCTACTGCCACATCCACAAGTCTCTGTTCAGAACCAAGACTCTCGATAATTTAAGTACCAAACATCCATCAGTTTAAGTAGAAACTGGGTACCCAAATATCTTTGCATTTTGGAGCCTTCATTGACTAAAGAACTCAGGTAAGTGCAGCACCAAGGTCTGTGTGCTCCACAGTCCCCCTGAGATACGGCCATCATGCAGGAGCCATGCTAGAGAAAGCTGTAGTGTTCTTCTCCTTTTTGAGCCTTTGGGGAAGGAAAATTTTAATCTTCAAAGTGATCCATCTAATTTCTTTCACTGTTTCAACTTTTTTCTTTTTTTTTAATTTGAACAGCCTGAGTGCTGAGTGCAAAAGACAACTCAATTTTTTTTCCAGCAGAACATTATTTTTTTACATTTCAGCATAGAGAAAAATGTGAGATTAAAAAAGTATGACTAGCGTTTTTAAACTCATTACTGGAGTTATCATGCAATAATGTTATGATTCATTTAAAGCATTAGTCTATCTACAGTACTGTTGATTAGTGCTATCAACAGTATTCAAGCTTCACTTCCTATGCTGATGGTCTAACAATATTAAAGTGGAACATTCCTATTTAGGCATTCAAACTTTTTTATTATATATGAAGAACAATAGTGGCACCACAATTAAAAAGAGTGCAATTTAGATAATCAAAATGTATTTGTGACAGAATTTAAACATTCAGATGAAATAACCAGTTGTTGAACCACTAATTATTCCCTTGCAAAGGGCAACTTTGTGTATGATGTATATATGCCATTGACGTCAGTGATGACTACACCAATTCCCTCCTCTTTCCTGCAAGCTATTTGATTGCTAAAGCTGTATCAGAGCTGAAAGGATACTGGTAAATGAGCCAAACAGGATCTCCAATATTTTGTTAGAAGAATGAAAGCTCCTGGCAACATACAGGAAATATAGAACATTGTTTCATCCACCAATGAACCACATCAATAGTAGGAGAAGAAACTAATATTGTAACCTGGATCTGACACAGCTTCCTTCTTACTGTATTGTGAAAACCCTGGGCTGAGCAAAAGCCAAGAAGTTTCCTCTTCTTTTATTTCTCTTGCATATTTTTCCCATGAATATCTTTTCCTAAGCCCTCAGCACATGCAAAATATCCCTCTGTATTACGGAACTTCACATACCATGAGTTCTTTTAACTTCTCCTTGAAGATCCTGGGACACGATACTGAAAAGACCTGACTACTTTTCCTCTTATAAAATAATTAATACTAAAAGCTGAAAGGCCTTTGAAAGAAAGAGGGAACTCACAGCCTGCTCCTACATTGGCACGCTTGGTTATTATTACAGACAAACTAGGCCCTTTATCACTCTACAACTGCACAAATTATTTCCTTTCTTGCTTACTACTAGGTATTTATTGCTAGCCTTGAGAAGCATTTTGACATGAACATGTAATCTGCATGCAAGAAATTCACCTAGTAAGTGCTGAAGTACTTCAGGAAAACTAAAATCTTTTTTTATCAAGATATTCTCAACAAAGTGTTGTCAGAAATGCTTTCCAGGTCCAGAAACATCCTGACATGCTTGATAATAGCCAATTATCCAAGTTCCTGCTGTATGATTTCAAGGAGCAACTCGAATCCACATTTGCCATGATCAGTCCGTATACCAATGGATGTTTGATAATACAGTTGGTAAGAGTTCCCTCAAGGCAGGAACTTAAAGCTGGATCTCCAATGCAGCAGATCACTGCCATATTTCCTCAGTTGCATTTCTTTCTTAACACCCTCTTTTTCCTTCTGCATGAGGAGGAAAATCTTTTTTTTGTTTGTTTCTTTTTTCTTTTTTTCCTCCACAAGGAGAATATACTGCACTGCTGGCATTCTGCTGTGTAGGTGATGGGATGAAATTACTAGGTCTTTGGAGTTTTCCTAGAAGTGTAACATCATATGGAAAGACTGTTTTAGACTCTCTTGAAGTTAGCCAAATTGCATTGTGACAAGAGAAAACGTGAAGAACAGTCATAAACAGACAAAATCAAAAACCTAAAATATTTATTAAGACAGAAGATTTTTCTACATTTATTTAAAATTGAAATTATAGTTCTCTGTTTGTAATTAGTTGATAAATACAAGACACATAAGTCAACAGTGCTTTCATTTGCACCTCTTCCATCCATACCCAGTTATATCTACACGCTTTTCAAAAGCCTTAATAGTAGGATAAGCCTTGACTATGAAGCCGTTGTGCTTCATGGCACACCCTATCATCCTGGTTTCACCACAGTTCAGACTGGGGGAAGTCTGAGCAGAACATCTGCAGTGCCTCTCCCCCCCAACTCTGTATGCCCAGGTTTCCTTCCCATCAAAATGATGCCCACATAAGGGAAGTTCGCCCCAATCAGCATGCAGAGGGGGTGTGTATCTGGACAAACACAGCAAACCCAAATTCCACTGCATAGGCCTTGCTGTAGACCAAAGATGACTGAATTGTTAAGAGAAGACTTTTTGGGTTACAATTCCAAGGCATCCAACAGTTTTTGGCTTATATCTCAAATTTGACATAATTCTGAAGATGAAGCAGGATCTGGTTTAAGAGATTGTCGACTTAAGGTTAAGAATGTTTCTGTGGCTCCCTGAAATAAACTCTTCATCACTGTCTATTCTGACTGAAAGATATTTTCATAAATATTTGATAAATACAATCTGTACATAATAGATGTATTACTTTTTAAATACTATCTGATTAGGAATGGAATTTTTAATTAGACTGTGATTACATCTATATTAGAAGCTATACAAAAGTGAGTGTCAGTGGAGGGGTGACTCACTGACTCAACGTTAATAAGGCCAGAAGGAATGACAGTGATCACCTGGTCTGACCTTTTTTTTAAACCACAGAACTGCATGGAATTACTGTATGAAGTGCCAGAAAAGTGTCCTGTCTTGATTTTTCAATTTCTGTGATAAAGAGTCCATTTCAGTCTCTGGAATTTTTTTCTAATGGTTAATTAATTTGTTTTGTTAAACTTTTGCCTTATGCCTACATTAAACTTGTCTGGCTTCGTCTTCTAGCCAGTGGATCCTATCATCTGCTGGGTTTAAGAGTTCATTATCATAATCTGCGGACCTGCCTCATCGCTACGAATCTGTGTGGCTATGACGGCACTGCTGACTGACCATAGTTACCACCACCTCATTATCACCATCTCTGCTCTCCTTGCTCAGGCGCTGTGGAGCTGTGCCCTTGCTGGCGAGGACACTGTCCTGCCAGCCTTGATGTCACCCTGGCTCCTGGTTCACCTTCCCTGTGGAGCAGCTTGCACTTGCTGCTCACTGACAAAGCCTGACCATGCTGAGGATAAGTTCCTTAAAAACAAGTTTTTGCTCTTCTGACTGTGATGGAAGTTGCAGCCCAATCTTCTAAGAGATATCCTGGATTGGGCTTTTTTGGAGCAGAGCACTGGTGATGTGAGGAACGTCAGGTTCATACAAACTCAAACAGCTGGAAAGCATGCTAGTTATGAGATTTGATGAGATTAAGCCACTTCTGGGGTTGCCAAAGTATACATATATACACATATATATAGTGTATATACATATATAGTATATACACATATATATAGTCAATAAGCCTTTTCTTTTCTGCTAATGAGCACAGATTTGAACAACTTGTTTTGAGTAAGAATACTGGAGAATAAGAAGAACATGTTCTAGAAAAAACATTAAGATGATTATAGCCTAATGGTTTCATAAGAAATTGAAAAATGCTGGCTGAAATTAAAGCATCTCCACACACATAAAAGAAAAAATTGACTTGAGAAAGAAAGTTAGACACAAGGAGGCAATGTAGAGGCAGACAAAGCATTGTACTTTGCATGACATATCAATGGCAGTGTTCTGGCATGGGGTCTAATACCGCATATGAATTGTCACTAGGTTCACCCACATCACAGTTCTGACTAATCTTATTTCTCATCACCACTCAAATTAAGTAATATAAATACTCACACATTGGAAAAGGCTGACTTCTGAGAATATGCATTTCCAGTTCAATTGCATAGTAAAATACTTTTTTAGCACTTTAGGCAGATGATGTATTCCTAATCACGCATACAGCTCAGTAATATCTGTGCCTTGCAGATATTACGTGCCTGCCTTCCTTGTTAAAAAAAAGCCACTTGAAAGCTTCTTCTCCATGTAACCATTATTTTAATGTTAATAAAACATCACTTATGTAGTTAAAATCTTACTGTCTTGAATCCCTCTCTTTTTAATCCAGTGCATAAAATGCATTGCATAAAATGGGAGCAACATAATTACTGTCATTGAGCTACGATGTAGCATGAGTTCCTTCCCGGTTCCCTCCCCAGTATTTTTGAGGAGAACACTTGGATATTAGGCCTTAGTACAATGAGGCCTGTATGTGCCATGTGACTCCTTCATGCTTCTTTTAAGAGTCATACTCTAAATGCAAGTCAGCTAACAGAATAGAACTAGCTTATGAGCACTGTAATTAGCTGCTGGTACAGATCAATAGGAGATTATCATCTATAATTCCCAAGATGAGAGAAAGCATGTAGTCAGGCCATGCTGAAACATACAGTTTACAAAGTACATTAATCAAGAGACTCTCCTGAAGGCAAATCCTGTAGCAGAAAACTGGTTTCTTATTAGTTTTACATGATTCTGCTTTTGCTACCAAAGGATACACCAAGGCTACCATTTTCAATAAAGCCTGTCTAAACACAGATATCTTTTGAGTAATTACTTTTTTTCTACAGATACTGGCATTACATTGTACAATTCAGTTTTATGTACTGGAGATAAGTAACACGTGGGTTGTGAGTCAATGCCGCCAGAGAGCATCAGCGAGACCATCAAAAAGAATCCCCTTTTTTCTGAAAAAATGCAATCAGATGGCTGATGTTAACACACTAGTTCACATCAGGAGTGTGCTCTTAGAGTGAATACCCTGCTCAAAGCCACCTACCTGGCTTGGTTTGCAGAGTGGTGCAGTCTTAGAGTACACAAACTGGATGCCTTTCAGACAAAGTCAACCATGAAGTGGCACTTGGGAGTCCACCAAATGCTTCTAGCCAATAACAGGCACTCTGCCCAAACAAAACCCTCCCAAAAGACATTCTATAGGGGTGTAGGATCCCCTGCATCAGTTATTTTCCTCTACAGAGCCATTTCTATTGCAGCACACTGCATGCTAAAGCAGACATAACCTTCATGAGTGCCTTCAAGGTTTAAGTAAGGAAAGGATCAGGTTTTATGCAAATGATTAAAAAAATCATTCAAGATTAAAAGAGCATTGGAAAAGAAAGGAATGTCGCTTTTTTGGGAAAAAAATCTTATTTATAGCAGCTAACTGATTAACTACAAGAACACAATCAGTAATATTTCAAGGACAAAATTATAATCTTTAAAATTTTTACACAGTTAAGTCCACCCTCTCCAACGTCTTTAGGCTCTGCAAACTTCTAGTGAAATCAACTGAGCTGTGTATGTGAATATATATTTAAATGTGTACTTAGGAATGCTTAATCTTACAGAAATTAATCAGAGGTGAAGTTCCCGGACTAGGCTCTGAATAGAACGATTTTTCTGATAAAGCTATAAACTGGATGTCAGAGTGATTAAGCATGTATTTAAACATATAAGACACTTAGCTCATTGTTCATCATAGAAAGTTTTTGTTAAACTTAGTGGGCTATTCTTTTATGCAAAACTAATTTGGAAAAAAATTTTAAAAACCAGACATTAGTGGGTACTTCCAACCCTTCATGCAAAATTTAAATTTTCAATTCACTTTCAAAGTTGCAGTATCTAAACAAGGACTATACAATCCAGCCTTTGCTGGGTGTGTCTTTGGTAGTAAATAAATGCATTAAAGACTGCTCTTTGGATCTATCATCCTACCCTAAAGAAAAGGATTGTTACGCCAAACTATGTACTGGGAATGGACCCCTGGCCCATGCTAACTGTTGAAGTGCTCAGGGAAGTTGTTTGAGAGAATGGTAGTTAACAGAGGCCACTGCAATGCCCAGGACAGTTCTCACAGTTTAACAATAAAGCTGGTCAAATCTGCATATTTAGGATGTTAAATTATATATATATATGTGTGTGTGTGTGTAAAATAAGCATAGCCATTGAATAATCATTAACTGACCAAGACCTACTGATTGGTAAGTTCCAGAGCATCCGTGCTCCAGACACTTCCCAGTAACAAAACAGACTCTGAGATGTTGCCACAAATGGCAATTCCTTTAGGACACTTTTTTTTTTTTTTTAACAGTAAATTAATTTGCAGAAATTCAGAATAGTGAAGGCTTTGATCTTCAGTGGAAAGTGGTTGACCCTGAAAAATGGTTGGAATTATAATCCTGAGCAGTTAGATCCCAACGCTTACATTCTGCAATATCCCCCACAGAAATGTCAGAATATGTACGTAAAGCTGAATGGTCTCAAACATACAATGCAATTCCCATGTCTTTGAGCAAACACTAACCTTCTGTTCCATAAGTAATGTGTTTGTAGGGATTGCTGCAAATGCCTTGTAGCTTGTCTTGATCTTGTACTGCTAAAAGGGTAAACCAGAAAGCAGGAAGAGAAGTAAAACGGGGTAGAAGAGGGAGAGGGAGAGAGAGGAAAGAGAGGAGAAAGGTACGACAGAATGAAAGACGATTCCAATTGTCTTGCAGACACATTGCAACAATACAATGCTTACATATTACCTAGGAAAGCTATTTCTTAAAGAAAATCTAATGTTTCTGTTCAGATTTTAAAAGACTGTAACATATGTCTTTTGGGTTTAGGAATGAAGTAGGACAAAGTGAATTCCCTGTACCAGCTTGTAACTTCCAAAGTGAAGTTGACCACTTTCTGCAGACTACTATCCTTCAATAAATATCAGGAGAGGCTGTGAGTTTTTTCCAAGTTTGCTTGTGATTTGATATGATAAGGCACAGCTACTTCTGCCAGTACATACACCTCAACAACTGCTGCTGTGTGGTGTGATCCTGGGCCACTGAGCCAGAGGGATTTCTGTGATTGGCTTTAATGAGACTGATTAGGATCCTTAAATGCTTAATTACTTCTATGAGTGGATAGATCATTTAAATCATGTCACAGCTTTTCAGCTCCTGAATAAGTCTCTGTCACTCAAATATTTCAGAACAAGTATAGGAACTTTCACACTCCAACCAGACATACAGAACTGACAATCTAAACCATACAAAATGCATGGGTTTGAGTACAAAAATTCTAAGATCAGCCTTAAAAATTACTCTTTTAAACCAATTTATATTTTAGACTATATTAGCTTGCACAGTTATTTTTAACTCTTTAGAAACCATACTTTCTACATTTTCTTTGCAATTATGGAGGTTGAATTCAGTAATTTTTAAATGATTGATGAGATCATTCCATACTTGCATGAGTTCAAGAGCTGGGATTCTTAATCACATGACTGCTGGAATTTTTTTTTTTTTTTAAATTAAATAGGAATTCGCTACATAGTTCCCTTTTCAGCAGCATTCTAATAAAAAATCATAAATTCACACAATAATAGAGTTTTAAGGTATTGATTGATTATTTCTGTGATAGTCACCCAGAAATGAAATTACTTGTCAATTAGTTCAGGTTTTTTAATGTACTGCTCTCTGCAACAGTGAATAACTGGTGATTATGAAATAACAGGCTGAGCAGTATGCTGTACTTTGGGTCATTCTTTTGTCACTTTTTTCTTTTCTTTCTATCTAATAAAATGTTTGATGGCAGCAGAGGGGCCAAAATTTTAATTCAGATAAGAGAAACTTATATCATCCTTGCACCTCTCTTGAAATATTGTGGGATACCAGCTTTTAATTCTTTCTATACATAATACTATGGGTTTTTTTTTTTTTTACTTTATTTATATTTCTTAGTCAGAGTTGGACACTGACAGGCATTCAAGAAGTCAATAATCACAATAATCATATTGAATGAATAGTCTGACAGAGCAGATGAATGCAAATGCTGGAAATGCACTTCTTTTTTGGGGGGAGGGGCGGGGGGCGGGGGAAAAATAATTTATATGAGATTTAGTGATTCTAACTTGGATGTCTACCAGTTAGGCGATTCAATCAAAACTAATGCCTTTTATAGTCATAGGCATTTCTATAGGATAATTCATCTCATCCCAAAATAGGCACCTAGAAAGGTAAAATAAAATCATCATGTAAATACACCATATTCTCTTCATTAGCTGTAATAGAATTTCCCAAGTTGTGCTTGGATATCTAACTTTCAAATGTCAAAAGTCACGTGAGTTGAATCCTGCCCTTTGAACATTTAGACAGCTACACTCCACTATAAACATGTGTAGGTTCATATATATATTTATGTATATACAAAATCCATATTCAGATAAGACATAAAATCCTGTGCACTGAAGATGGAAGACCAAAATTCCAAATATTAAAATTGGCATATTCACAAAAATGTATCTTTGTTTGCTTATAACTGATACTCAATCAAGCAAATTATATAATTGAACATGTAAATGAAATGCAATGTCTTCACTAGCCTATGGGCTTTTACATATGATGAGCTGGGCATCTTATATGATGAGAATACTGTGACCACTTTGAAGTTAGTTGTACTGTTATATGAACTAAACTAAACAAATACATATCAGACTGTTAAAATGTAGAAGTTTCTATACTGCTTTAATGTGTTTTATCACTTCCAGATACTGTAGAACCTGTGAGCAATGTGCTATTGTCACAGTGTCTGAGTGGAAAGTCTTTAATTCAGTTTCTCGTCTATATGAATATGTTTCTTGGCACATTAGTTCACATTACTTAAAGTTATTCTTCAATGCCTAAATACATTTAATAATCTGGTTCATAGGAATCTAGCAGTATTTTTAAAGAGCCATGGACAGTTAGCTCTGCTGGCCTGCACCATGGTCCAGTCAGAAGTAAACCAACTCCAATATCAAAGCTCAGCCAAATATCAGCCTGGGGAGTTTTGGGGAAAATGTTCTACTTTTTTTGCTGAAATGATCACCTAGGACACCCACAGGGCATTGCAAAGTGTGCTAGACACATACCTATAAAGGGGATTAAAATCAGCGACTAACCACGAGAGTGTAGACCTCCTCATGAGTAATCTTTTCTGCTTTGTGGTAGGTTTTGCAGGTGTGCTGAGCTCCGTGTTGCTACAGTTAGGTTGTTCCCCAGCTGTTTTGGGTAGATTTACATGCATTCCTGTGCTACATTCAAATAGGAAAAATCAAAGCATATGTAGGAATGGTGCCCCATGAAACAACTGGAAAGAGTTTTCAAACAACAGCCAAAAGTTTTTATTCTAATCTGTTCCTGCAGAATCAGCAATTTTATCTGTCTCCGCTCCACCCTACTGTTCATTTTGCTATATTAGGTCCATGAGGACACTATTAAAGTGTCTGCAAAATCCAGGGAGAGGGTTTTTATTTCCTGTGGTCACACACAGTTCACACTGATCTGTGGATTCATGCTTATATCCACTTTGCAAAACAGTCATATTTTTAAATTGCTCGTGAACATAAAGATAAATATATAAAGCATGGGAAAGCACATGTGTTTATATATACAAATGCAAACAGTTAAGTAAGTTCATAGGTTATTCTTTGATTTGCATGAATTGGTGCATGCATAGGCATAGACATATAGAAGCTCTCCATTAAAGAATCCTTTTTGTATAATTGCTTTGATATCATGCTAATGAAACAGTTTGATGTGAATACTGAAAAAGCACATCTAATGTCAAAATTCTGGTTTAATAGGTGTTGGTTTAATACGTGTCTTAACATTGCTTCAGCTGCTGTTGAAGCAACATTAAATTTGCAAAATTACACATGCCAAAGTCAAGCACTTCTAGATGCTGTGCTTTTCCCTTGATATTCACCTAGCATGCAAAAATTTCGTCATGCATCAACAGCCATCAGATGGAGCAACCTGCTTTTTGTCTAGTTCTAAAGTTGAGCTGATTGGTACTAAAGAGACCTAAATGCTGCTTAGGATGCTAATGTTGCCTCTCCTCAATCTTTTCCTTTTTTCTCTGCAAGTATACTGAGATTTGAGGTTGGAGTGTTATCAGAGAGCCTGGTACCATTAACACATCAGCAAAGTTTATTGAGCTATGCCATAAACTAGGTATGGAAGTAAATGAGAGCAGGAGGAAACGGGGGTGTTGAATGCACACTATTATTAACTGTAAATGAAGTCTCAGCCTCACATTTTAAAGCCATAAAAGAACTTTCCTGCACTGAACACCCATCTGCATTTGATTTAGAGATTTCAGATCTTCCACGTCCCCAGTGGAGCCAGCTTTGTATACATGATTAAAAATTGCACCAGACTAACGGTCCGAGTCTGTTAAGCTGGTAAACACTCTCCTAGCTTCAATGGGGTGGTGGGGCAGTTTCAAAAGTGCCACCATATTGCATGGTAAAGCAGAATTAGCAGGAAAAGGGACAGCAGGGAGGACAGAAAGGGTGTAATAACCTCTGCAAATACAAACCCAGGCAATAGGTCTGTGTCACAAGCAGAGAATTTCCTTACCGCCAGAGACTCTCACAGTACTTACTGCACTGACTAGCAGAAACTGCAACTGCTTTGCAATCTGCAGGTTCAGTCATGCCTTCCAGATTTGTCTCAGGGGCTTTTTTCTTGGATTTGCTACAATTTCATTTCTCTTTTTGTTTCATTAAGTAATACTCACAGAGTGTAGCCACACTGTACAGCTGTGCTTGACGCAATGGTTCTTCTTGGGTTGTTTGGTTTTTAAAAGAACCATTCATGACAATTGCTACTTTGTGCTGATTTAAACCTCTCATTTTCAATTAACATTTTCCAAGCAGTTCAAGTCAACCCTGCCATGGCCAAGCTGTTAGGAACACATCTCACACAACTTGATCTGGCAGACCAGGCTGTAATTTTGTGCTGTGAACAAATAAATCAATAAACTATGATAGCCTTTCTGTGATGGGCAGAGCTCAGATTTCAGCAAGAGGACGCGCAAAGGAAACACAGAGTGCAAAGGTAAGATAAAAGAGGCTGGAAAGCCTTCTGCAGCTCTGATGTCTTCTGCCACCAGCTCTTCCTCTTTGCATAGCATTTCTTTTTGTTTTCACCTACCTGCTGCATGGTTTTTGATCGGCTTTCCTTTCCCTCCCCTTCCCATTCTTGAGATTTATCTTTAGGTTTAAAGTGTGACTGGTTCCCAAGCCCTCCTGCAGCAATAGCCATCATTGCTTATTCTCACTCTGCTGGGACTCTCCCACCTTTGGGTGGATGAAAAACAACAGGAGCATGGCTGCTCCATCGAGTGTGAGACTTTCATATTTGCAGTAGCCCACGTTGTAGGAAGCTTGGCTTTTTTTTCCCTTGCCCTCTGTCTAGCACAACAAGATGAGAGAAGTACCAAAGAAAGGGAAGAAGCCTGTCCTTGTCTTCCCTCTCTGGCTCTTGGCCCCATAGTCCTTGCTCAGGCTGAGCTCAGCTGTGCCTCTTGGCTGATCTCAGAGAGGCAGAGAATGGCTGGGGTGAGTACAGC